CAAAAATAGTAAGACAAAGAAGTAGATAACGTAGGATACATTTGCAAAAACAACAAATGTACCAGCATGACGTCGAAAATGGTTACAAACCAATATGGCGGCGATTACCAAAAACGAGGCCGATAAGCAATCCTTAGAAGTGTGTCTTATCCTTGCATGTTGGTGTTTTTTTCTGGTATATTATTTCGTTGTACCGGCCACATGCCACTGTTCTACAGTTTTGAAGGATATGAAGGGTTTTAGCCAATCAGTTGAAGGAATGTCGTCGAAAAACTCTGGCAACACTGTTTTCGAGATACAGGGTGTCAAAACTTGAAAAAATCGGTTTTTCAAAATCCGTTTCTCGAATTTCTTTAAACTTGGCAGATTTGTTTGTAATAACAAAAGGTATCTTTTGACTCAATTCGATTTACCGTATTTATTCCAGTGGCCAGTGGCGGCTCGTGACTATTTCAAGTGAGGAGGCTAAACATAATGAACTACGGTAACCACTGGCAGCAGGCAATTTTTATTTTTTTTTTGAGTGTCTACTGGCCATTTGCACGGCTATCACTTAAGCGATATTTAATCTAAATGGAGCTTGAATATGACTTTTGTTTCTACAAGAGTCACATTCAAAGTTCTACTTGGAATAAATATCCCTTAAGCAATAGCGGTGCAAATGGCCGTAAGTCCTCAAGAATTTATCTGAAATTCAATAAAAACCATAAATGCTCAAGAAAATAAACATATCATAAGTATATATTTTCCGTATTCGCATGCTGAGTAATTAACCTGAGAGGTGAACTATCAATTTCTTCAGGACTATCTGATAAACTAAAGAACTCTTCTTCGTCAATAGATCATATTTTCCGAAATATGCCCCAAATTTCGATGTAGATTGGATAAATAAATTGTGTGATGGATATGCCTACGAGTCTCTGTGCATGAGCTTCATTATTTGGAAAGCATACATATAAAATAGAAAATATAATTTACCGTCCAGCAAGAACCAACGAGAAGGTGAGAGTCTCATTCTTGCCAGGAACAGGAAAGGAAAGGTTTGGGATAGCTAATAGTTAAGAAAGGAATTCTGGGACTGGAGATGGACTGGGATACGATTTTGGAAAAAGAGGATAGAGAATAATATGATCAGAACTTAGAATAGGTAGGTATTTAGAAAAAGTTTAATAATACACTGATCAGAAAGAAAAAGGAGCCAATTCTGAATATGTTCGTAGTTTTTAATGAAATTAGTTTATCTTTTTATTTAAATAATGTGAGAGCGAATTTACAAACTTCTAATTTTTTATCGAATAAGTAAACAAACCGTGATAAAAGCAACCTAAAGAGCCGCATACACTACGATGAAACACGACGGTTTTCATCGCCACGATGAAACACGTCGTTCCAAAACCGAATTTTGTGGTAGAAAATCGTCGTGTTTTTCTTCCACACACTTCGGTTTTGGAACGATGTGTTTCATCGCGGCGATGAAAACCGTCATGTGTCATCGTAGTGTGTGGGGCCCTTTTATTGGTTTCATATGGAATTGCGTATCTGCTGGAAAAACAGAAAATTGCTTTGAATTTTTGAATTGAAAAAGTGCTCCTTTTTCGTTTTGATCAATGTAGTTTATTGGATTTTAAAAATGAGCGGAATTCGTCGGTTTTTTTTATTCGCGAAATAATCTATCACTTCTTCATAAAACTGGTCATCTTCACACATTTTGAATACAAATTCTTTTTCAATTGAAATAAGAGATATGTTAGTTAGTCTGTTTTGGGACATGGTACTTCGAGAGTAAGTTTTAATTCGTTTTAACGCAGAAAAGTTTCTTTCTACCGATGCAGATGTTACAGGTATTATAGTTACTACAATATTTACAAGTTTATATAACTCTGACATACACGTATGCAATTCATTTTCATACATAAATTTTAATAAATCTGTGGGTGTTTTACACGTTTTAAACATATCAGTATCATTGTAAAAAACACTTAATTCATTTTTAATCTGAATTTGATCAAAAAATGGGTATTGACTTAAGAGATTGTCCAGTAAATCTTGGGGAATTTTTTTAGAATATGATAGATAATGTTCGGGTGTCAAAAGATCGAAAAACTTTAATTTTTCTAAATCGCCGAATCTAACTTCAATTTGCATCATTATAGTATCTAATATCTCCACAAAAATAATTTTATAGTTCAATCTTAAATCTGGTAAATCAAGTGTAGTTTTACGTTTATTTTCTGGCCTAAAATTTGATAGTACTTCAAATATTTTGTTAAAATAATTGTCATTATTTCTAAACTCTTTTAAGGTTTTAATTAAGTTGAGAATACGATTTTTTGAAAAATTTATATCTGTTAATCGATTCTGAAGTATTGAAAAAACCACCTCAGTTTGTTCAAAAATTAATTTGAATGTTTCCAGCAAGAAACAAAATTTTGGCTCATTCAAATATCGCTTCAAGCCTTCTGCTTCTCTTACCGATTGAATATCGTTTTTGAATTCCTCGCTGTCAATTATAAAATCAAATACTTCAATCAATTTGTCTCTGTTTTTATGCACTGTAAATACAGATTGTGAAGTAAAATTCCAACGGGTAGCAGAAAGAGTTGGTATTCTACTACCACATATTTGGTTTAAAACATGAGTGCGTTTAGTCGATTTCGAAAAAAATGGTGCAAATCCGGACAAATTAGAAAAAAAAATTCTGCAATCCTTGCTAGTGTTACAGGATTTACTTAAAACTAAATTTAATGAATGTGCGTGACAATGTGTGAAAAGAGCTTGGGGAGCTACTGCCTTTATTTTGGCTTGAAGGCCATTTAAATGACCAGACATAAAAGCGGCACCGTCATATGTTTGTGCGACCAATTTTTCTTTAAAATCATATTTTTCACATTCATTCATTAATAATTGGAATAAATCTTGGGCGGTTCGTCCAGCCGAAACATCATAAAAACCAAAGAATTTTTCTACAATTTCACTTTTTTTCACGTAACGGAAAACAATTGATAATTGAGAGTAGCAGGAAATGTCAGTGGTTTCATCAATTTGCCACGAAAAAAAAATAGCATCTTCAATTTCCTTATCTATTCTTTGTTTTAAAACAAATGTTATGCTTTCAATAATCTCATTTTGTATTGTTTTTGAAGTTCCAGAGAAAATATTATTGTCCAAAAAATTTGCGAATTTTTCATCATATTTGCCAAACAACGAAAGCAATTCCTTGTAATTTCCCCGATTAGAGGATTCGTCTCTTTCATCATGGCCCCGAAAAGCCATTTCTTGTGATGCCAAAAATATTGTTGTATCTATAAGTCTCTTCAAATTGAATCGATTTTCTTTAACTTGGTTGTTAAAAGAAATTATTGCATTCCTTCGTGCGCTATCAATGGCAGTTGCAATGTTCTGTTTTCCAAACAATTTGATTTTACAAGAAGAAGTAATATGTTCTTGGGATTTTAAATGTCGTTGAATAGAACGAGGCAAATTTTTCAGATCAGAAAATCCTATTTTGGCCCACGGAGAGTTATCGGTTTGTTTGGAAAATATTAAACAAAACCAACAAAATAATTTTCCCATATTTTTAGATCCCGTCCACCACTCACATTTGTCATACCAAGTAATACTAAAACCACGATTTCGACGTGCATCTGAAGTTTTCAATGTTATTAAATTTGGGGTAGGTCTTCATAAAGTTTTAACTATGTAAGATTTTGTTTCTATATCAAGCAAACTAAAGTGATGATTTGCACTTGCCAACCAATCCACTATACCTATCGCCACAATTTTGGAAATGCACCTGACGACAAAAAATATCAATCAACAATCTACAACTTCCGAATAAAAAAGTGACATGGAACTCTGAATGCATAAAACAGAGATAAAACAACAAGGATGGCAGTTTCCAACCTTGCAATCCATGTATGCGGCTAGCCGCTCCTCGACTCGATGGTGCCTGAACGCCAGGAACGGTTCGACGTGTTTCTGGCATTTCTATTGGTCGCTGAGATTCGCGGTCCGTTTGAATGCTAGATTTCAGGGAAGCATATGAGAATCAAGCCTCCGGGCGATTTCTAATAGTAAAATTGCGGGCAAGGAACAGATTTTTGTCGTGAAGGCGCGGAATTTTTTGAAATAATGTTGTTAGATTGTTCCAAATTAAATTAAAATATCGAAATTTGGAAAGTGTAATTTGTGAATTATAATATTGATTAGGAATTAGGGATAAAATATTGAGATTAAAATTTTAAATTTTTTTGGGGAGGCTTAGCCTCCCCTGCCTCCTCTGACGAGCCGCCACTGCCAGTGGCGCCCCAGAGGGCAACTACGTTGGTAAAAGTAGACAAAAAATAACACGTCACCATTTTTTTTGTAACGTTGATATTTTTTTCAGATAAAGCAAGTCATATTACAGTCAAAAGATATCTTTTGTTATCACAAGCAAACTTGCCAAATTTGAACAAAAAAATTGGAAAAGGGATTTTTGAGTTAAAGAAAATGATTTTTTTTTCAAAATTTGACACCTTGTATCTCGAAAACTAAACATTTGCGGACCCATTTTTCTATTAAATGTTTTCTTATTTTAATGAGTCTACTATTTATCCTAGAAGTTTGATCTCACTATTCATTAACACACTGTACTATCGAGAAAAAAAAATCCAAATGTAAAGATTATTCCACAAAACTTTCTGGCAAATGACGATCAATTTTTTTTTTACACATGTGCCTCTGAATTCTGAATTAAGTTGGTAATTTTTCCCTGATTTATTCAGAGCATTTTTCAAAATACAATAACTTAAAAATTCAGTCCGGCCGGCAACATTGTGAACATTTGCTTGCTAGCTGGTTTGGTTATCTATTTTATTTTTTGCGATGCGAATTTGGTTTTCATTCTTCAACCTTCTCTGCACGCAAATTTTTAATTTATATGTATAGGTAGTGAGAATTTACAATATAAGTGAAATAAGTTTACAGTTGTTTTAGTTTCAAAGTGAATAATATTCATAATGGTTGATTGTGTTGAAATTATGAGAAACAATTCTCAAGATTTTCTTTTCAATTTGAAAACAACGGATTTCAGCATAAAAAATATGACTAAAGGATTTCTATTAGAAATTGGTGGCTCCATATTGTGCCTGGAAACTACAGATGTTGATGTGACTAAAGTTTTGTTAGGTCAAGTTTTGATAAATCTCAAAAAAGATACAATTTTTAAGGACAATTTAAGAGAAATTCTTTTCACGGATATCAGTAGTTTTAATACAATCACCTCAGAACAAAATGAAGATTTTCTGCAGAATTTTCCTGATCTGTTGGTTTGCATTTTGGACCATGACCATGAAGAACCAAATGAACAATCTCATGTATTGAAATCGTGGATAAATATTATTAAAGCAAATGGCAAAAAAGTTATTTTTATCATGAAAAATTCTAAACATCTGGAAAAAACCATATTGGATAATGAAATGGAGAATATTTTCAAATTGAAATTAGATAAATTGTGGAAAGAAAATGAAATACCATCGAATGATGCAGTTAATTGTGAGGTTGATAATAATATAGTAAACAATGAATCGGCAAGAGCTTTGGATGAAAGCATGAATATTAATTTAAAAGAAGAAGAATCAAGTATTAAAACGTCATTAATTGGTGAGACAACAACTGAAAATGCAGATTTGACTGTTCTATTTCAATCACTCATTGTAACAGAATTAAATGCAGTAGATAAAGAAGGCAATACTCAATTGCATTTGGCAGCTCGTGATGGAAAAACAGAAATTGTTGAATCAATTTTCGTTCACGGAGTGAAAAAGGACGTGAGAAATAATCGTGGCTTGACAGCTCTTCATTTGGCAGCTCAAATGGGTCACAGTGCAATTGTTAATATGTTGCTTGAAAACGGATTTAGTGTGGATGGAACCCAGATTAATCAATTGACTCCACTTCATTATGCAAGTTCAAACCATGATGATGTCCATTTGATAGAAATTCTGTTGAAATTTGATGCAGAGATAGAGAGAAAAAACATATTCGGCCGAACAGCTCTTCATTTAGCATCTCAAAATGGTCACAGTACAGTAGTAAATTTATTACTGAAAAATGGCGCCAATGTAAATGCTCGTGACAATCATGGAGAAACACCTATGCATAAAAGTATATCAAAGAATAAACAAGAAATTGTTTCAATACTACTACAACATGGTGCCCTTTTAAACATCAAAAATTATCAACAAGAAAATGCCCTTGATACAGCTAGATCCTGCAATTTTCCTGAAATAATACAAATATTAGTCAAACATGGTAAGTTTTTTGTTTAATTTTGTAAATAAATAACTTAAAGTATATATTTCGTTTCAGATGAAAATCATTCTGTAAGATGTTAGACAGTAGAACCCTGGCTATGAACACAATTTGATACCTTAGATTAATAATTATCATCACTTATTATGTGAATCCATGATCTTTGTGAATGGTAGCTGGTCTCTGCAAAGTTAATGGTTTTAATTCGTTTTGTTTGTATAATTTGTATCATATTATATAGGTACTACTTAATAAAGGTGTTTAATCAATATTTTTTCACGCATAAATGTACAAATTACGTTTTTTTTTAGATTGATTAAAAATAGCCGCTTCCAAACAGAAATGAACCTTATTTAAGTATTAATTTTTCAAATGATTAATTTGATTTATTTATTGGTGATTTTTTTCAATTTTAACAATTTTCATGAATTTGTTTTGTTGCTATTTCTCACTGGATCAATTTGAAATTTCAGTATGATGAGGTCCTAACTTTCTTTTTTTTCACTCCAAGTTCCACCCCAAAAGTTTCAGAAAAATATCAAAATATGAGAGGATGCAATTTCTTTAATTAGGATTTTGAAAGTTGATTTTCATGAATTTTTTTTGTTTGTACTTTTCACTGGATCAATTTGAAATTTCAATAAGATCAGCATCAGCTCCTAACTTTTCCTTTGTCATCCGAAAAGTTTCAAAATTTTCCTCCAAATAGTTTGACAAAAAAATATGAAAATGTGAGAGAATGCATTTTCTTTCATTCAGTTTTTGAAAGTTGATTTTCATGATTTATTGTTGCTGTTTTTCACTGGATCAATTTGAAATTTCAGTAATGAGTTCTTAAGTTTTCTCTTTTCACCTTGAAAATTTGGAAAAATTTTCTTACAATAGTTTTTTTCAGAAACACATAGGTAGGTATCAAAATTAAGTTTTAGAAAGTTGATTTTCATGAATTTTCATTGGATCAATTTGTAACTTTAGTATGATCATGAGCTCCTAACTTTTCTTTTTTCACCCTAAAAGTTCCAAAATTTTCCCCTTGAAAGTTTTCTAGAAAAATATCAAAATTTAATAAATTTTTTTGAAATTGATTTTGATGAATTCTCTTGTTGTTGTTTTTCATAGGATCAATTTAAAAGTATGATAATAATATGCTCCCCTAATATTCCTCTTCTCTCACCCCACAAGTCAGTGGCGGCTCGTGACTATTTCAAGTGAGGAGGCTAAACATAATGAACTACGGTAACCACTGGCAGCAGGCAATTTTTATTTTGTTTTGAGTGTCTACTGGCCATTTGCACGGCTACAGGGTTGCCAGATGGTTATAACTAATTTCCCCCAAAGGATTTCAAAAATACCCCAAAAATCACTGTTTGTCAACTAAAATCCCCCAAATAAATATAGATTTATTCTCGACTCATACTTGCAAAAAAAAAAAGACAAATTCGTTGAATATATTAAAATAAAACTCATACCCTTACCACTTTTTTATTTGTTTATATTTTTCTAAACCCAAAAATTTTGGTGCATACTGCCATAGCAGCCATGTTGGCTTTTTGTACTTTGGAGGGATTTCATGCCCTTATTCGTTTTATCTAAAAAAATCCGCAAAAAATCCTCTGAATTACAAAATCCGATCGTCCAAAAAAAATCCGCAAATCGGATTAAAATCCGCCCATTGGCAACACTGGAGAAGAAGCAAACTGTATCTTTTTTATTGGTACTTGATTGAAAAAATAGATGGCGCAGTTGTTTTAATACATTTTTTACTTTAGTTTTATTCATTGAAATATACCCGATTTCCCCCAATAGCAAAAATTCTTACAATTCTTACCCCCAAAAAAACCCCCAGAAAAAACTATCCCCCATCTACTTGAAAATCCCCCAAATTTCGGGGAAAATCCCCCAATCTGGTAACACTGCACGGCTATCACTTAAGGGATATTTAATCTATATTATAGGGGTTTTCGAGCGCTTGACCGGTAAATACCATTTACTGTCAGTATTTACCAATTTAATTTAAGCGGTTTGGTAATTCGTGGTCATGACCTAAAAACGAGCCCTTGGTCTTTGTTTTGACGTTATTTTTCGACATTGACAAGCAGCGGTATTTACCGGTATTTACACAACTTTCGACCTGTTTTTCATCTCCCACCATTTGTTGATGACAATTGACTTACATTTGAAAAAATTAATGGTGAACGTTTCTTTTTCTTTTTTGTTTATTTTGTTATTTGCAATTTGCATTTGCGGTTGTGTTAGTCCAGTGGTCCAGTCCCAGTTTCAGTATTTTAAAGGATAACGCAAACCTAACATGGGATTTTTGGGCTCTATGGATTTTGCCCATTTTTTGATATGTTGTAGAGAATTTGATTTAATTCTGAACAACCTTTAAATGGGACGACATCTTGTAGGTGTTACGGTCTGTGAGATATGAGCGTTGAAAGATGAACTTTTTTGCAACTTTTTGTGTGGAGAGTATACGAAAAACTGGTGTTTATCAGTCAAAATTTTGAAAGGTCGACATATTTTACGTCACTAATAAATGTCAACATAAGCTAAGGCCGGGACCGCACTGGCGCCAACATTGACCGCAGTGCGGTCCCGGCCGCGAGATTTCAGATCCTAGTGCACTTGTGAACGTATTTGTATTGGCGGCCTGTGATTGGCTGCTTGATCTGTCATGTCAGCGCTTTCCTGAATTTTTATGAGGTTATGTCGTTTTGTTTTCATTTAATTTGTTTGGCGGTTTTTGGCCTATCTTTGATAATTATTTCTTAATGAATAATCATCAAAATGGAAAATAATCAACTAATTAAATTCGATGTTGATATTGCAGAAACGTGCAAGGTTAAAGTAAGAGCTCCTATTGTAGTTTGTGTATTGTATTATTGCCATATTAAACATTTTAGTTATTGAATATACTACCTGACGTACCAACAGTCGTTACAAAATTGGATTTTGAAGAAAATCCATGTAATATTGAAAATCAGAAATTCATAGCAGAACTGCGAACAAATTGTTCAGACAAACAGAGTGCTATAAATTGGAAAGAAAAATTTGAAGAACTTAGCTACACCAGCTACAACGTAGACAGTACCTTTAACGAAAATACCTTAAAAACTATTTTTAAAGTAAGTAATCTTACATCACATTTCTTTTATCTGGTTTTGTTTCAAGTTTACTTGCTCAACCTTAGTTTTTGAAATAAAGAAATGAGATTCTATAGTATTTAACAACTTACCTGTTAACATAAAAAACATGAATACTTACAGCTCTTTTTTGAGTTATCTGAAGCAATTTTTTTCTGCTTAAATAATATATATGTATTTTTTTTTAAATGTTATAAACTATGAATTGTTTAGGACAAATTCATCAAATATAGCATAGCACTGTATTATAGGTTTAATATTCTTGAGGCCAGTGCTTCTATGTACTGATTAGAGAATTATTGTTATGTAAGATATGTAATGCAAAAAAGAATACTGTAATAAAAACTTTCAAAAAAAAAAAAAAAGATCCTATACTTTTTGAAACTTATGAAAGTAGCAAAATGAGTGTAGCATAAGAAGTCCCAGTGGTTTATACCTTAGATTGTTTATACTGTTCATAATATGAATTTATTGTCTTATTTTCTTAAAAGTTGCATATTTTTTTGAAACATCCTTGTATTTCTTCAGAAAAAAAGTTTAATTTACCTATGTATTTTTTTTAAATTCTGTTGGATTTATTTTATGTTAATGATGTATATTTTGTATATTTTCAGTGCATCTTTCACTGTTTACATAATACCAGGCCACCTAAAAGAGTCAAAACACCTCACTATAAACATGTTGATTGTCCAGCAAAATTAACCATTAATGTCAAGAATCCAAAAATGAAACCGGTGTGAAGTTGGTGGCAAAAGATAGTAGCCAAATTTTCCGAAGATACCCGAACGCCCATTGGCGTCGGGTCATATTTTAATCGACAGAAATTGTATTTTACCTCACTTGACTTTAGTTTTCTAAAATTCTACTACAGTTACATATCAGCAAAAAAAAAACATATTCTTGGGGAAATTATATCAAGGGGTATATATACGCGACGGTATTTTTTTAAATGTTATTTTGTTTTTTAAAATATCTCAAAATCTGTTCGTTTCAAAAGATTCATATTTAAACCACGGTTAACTTAGGTGCTGATTCAATTTTGAAAAAATATTTCATCCCCAGCAACCCGGGACAAGGGGTTCAACTGGAGGTTGGAAACATATTTTTTGAGTTATTTTAAAATTTCTCGAAATCTGCTCGTTTCTACAGATTTATATTTGAACCACAGTTAACTTAGGTACTGATTCAATTTTAAAAAAATATTTCATCCCCAGCAACCCGGGACAAGGGGTTCAACTGGGGGTTGAAAGCATATTTTTTTAAGTTTCTCGAAATCTGCTCGTTTCTACAGATTTATATTTGAACCACAGTTAACTTAGGTGCTGCTTCAATTTTAAAAAAAAATTTCATCCCCAGCAACCCGGGACAAGGGGTTCAACTGGGGGTTGGAAGCATATTTTTTGAATTATTTTTAAATTTCTCCAAATCTGCTCGTTTCTACAGATTTATATTTGAACCACAGTTAACTTGGGTGCTGATTCAATTTTAAAAAAATATTTCATCCCCAGCAACCCGGAACAAGGGGTTCAACTGGGGGTTGGAAGCATATTTTTTGAATTATTTTTAAATTTCTCGAAATCTGCTCGTTTCTACAGATTTATATTAGAACCACAGTTACCTTAGGTGCTGATTCAATTTTAAAAAAATATTTCATCCCCAGCAACCCGGAACAAGGGGTTCAACTGGGGGTTGGAAGCATATTTTTTGAATTATTTTTAAATTTCTCGAAATCTGCTCGTTTCTACAGATTTATATTTGAACCACAGTTAACTTAGGTGCTGCTTCAATTTTAAAAAAATATTTCATCCCCAGCAAGCCGGGACAAGGGGTTCAACTGGGGGTTGGAAGCATATTTTTTGAATTATTTTTAAATTTCTCGAAATCTGCTCGTTTCTACAGATTTATATTTGAACCACAGTTAACTTAGGTGCTGCTTC